ATCGCGTATTCCCTCCTTCTCTTTCTTCTCACTCTCTCTCTCTCTCTCTCTCTCTCTTTTTCTCTCTTCTCTGATAACGCGTTTTTAACTTCGCAAGAATATCGCACAACAGAAATACGTATTGCTTCGTAAACTTGGAAACGAATGCTGGCTCAAGTTAAATTGCCTCAAGCAATTGCTTCATCAAATTTAAATTTCAAACAGGCAGGTAATCATTTGTATCTCCCCTAATTTTACGGTAGCACGAAGTCCCAAGCTAGCATTTGGAAATTTTGGCAGCTGCGTCTTTTATGCAAATACAAGGGGCGGGCAAACCGGTTTTCAAAATTTCCCTTTTATATTATCCCTATTCGTACTCACTTGTAACTAAATCCGTGAAACGTGATGAAACCTACAAGGTCGTCGAGTATCTATACCTTACGCCTTACGTATATCCCTGTAATTCATGGTGACCATGATAATGTCACGATTAAATATTGACACGCGTCCGAATCGACACTGTGCAAAGTGATATTATTATTTTAATTAAGTATCACGTATGTTTTAATCTCTTCTTTGAGTCAAACGAAAAAGTGCAACTAATTATAATAGATATAATAATAATAGTGCATGAATGTTGTAACGAGTTATTCTCTGTTTCCGTGCTAATTCATCTTAATTAATTAGTTCAAAGTTCAAAGTCATTATTCGGATTCAATTTGCGTGCATCCACTCGTTTACTAGAACTATTAACATGTCTATCGTGAAAGACTGCTCCGCACAGTATTAAACAGTAAAATGTTAAAATTAATATATTTTTGTTTTATCGAACAGATTAACTTGGCATTTTCTTGCGCAATTTTGCGTTTCGCGCAAATTCGTTGTGCGCCAAGAATTTTTACGAAGCAATTTTTCATTATGGTTTGTTTAAATTCTAGCAAACAATTATTGCGAGCGAATTGGACAATAATAATCAACTAGTAGTACATATAACTGACATACATATCTTTGTCAAGCCATGAAACTCATTCATGAAATTCGAAACACCGCGTGTGCACTGCATTAATGAAATACGAAAACGATTATCGTGTGCAAACAATCCGGAATACGAATCAGTTGATGTTATTTGTAATTCCCCAAATCCCACTCTTCCTGCACGAAATACGAGATCCACACGTTTTTATTTATTTTTATATTCAAACATTATTTTTATATGAATTTTATTTTTATTCATTACTTGAGCTTTGAACAAAATAACTACAATTTTTACTTGGAAGATACAGAAAATTGTGGAGATTTTTTATCACATATTTAATGTTTTTTTTTAAAGCGTTTATAAAAATTGGGTGAAATTGAATTTTGGATCTAAAAGTATTCTAAAAATAAATCGAAAATAGCTGGAAATGTGTAATTAGAGATTCTTTTTATGAAAAACGATTCGGTTTAAACTCTGATACAAAGTAATTAGTTATTTCATTTAATAAACTGTTTTAACGGTAAGTTATGCAATTTATTCGAGAAGCCCTCTTGAGATCTTACTAATTATTTGGTTTTTTCCGTCTCTAGAGAGCGATTGGGTGAAATGCGGGACTTTTCCCAGCGCGGCTTATTTGCCACTCATGCTAATAATCGCGTTTAGAAGTTCACGATCGATTTATCACTACAGCCACATCAACTGCCAAACTAACATTTCGATTTGGTACTTAGTTTTTTTTTCAACTTTAGCAACGGAGAGCGTATCAAGAACAATCAAGAATTATATGAGTATTATTAATGTTACTATCGATCAATCAAAACGCGATAACACGTCAGAAAAAATCGCACGCTGTAAACGTTGCTTAGCTGATTATCCGGTTCATTGAACGGCAGCTTTGTCAATGATTCTGACGTCACTTCTAAGTCGCTACATTCATTCTGACGTAGCTTCTAAGGAAAAAGGCAACGCTATTTTTTAAATTTACATTTGCCCTTGAAATTCTCTCCTGTCATTCTCATCCCACATTATATCAAATTTTACTTAGAATAAAAAAATAATATAGTTTTATTCAAAGTACTACTTAATAATATCATTTTTATAACGTTTTTGTAATTAATTTTCAATTTTTATGTTTGATCTTTTTTATTAGTTTGATGGTAATTAATTTTCATTATTATACGTTTTTACTAATTATCTCTATTTTGTCCTTTAATTAAGTACTTTTGTTAATAAATTTGTTTTCTTAATTTATAATAACTACATTTTGTTTGTAACTAAAACACTATAAAACAGTATTACGATATTTGACTGCACAGTGCTTTTGTCGTGCTATATTTGTTTAGAATCTGAACGTTACATTCCAATGCGCGGTGAATGCGTTTTGTATAATTTGGGAGATACATTTAAATTAATACTACATGCGGTAAATGTGGTATCGTTTTGCACAAACACGCGCGTCCCTCCGGGCGTAAAATTTATTAGTGAAATGAGGTCATCTCGCACGAATGTGCGGAAATTGCGGCGCTCATGGATGTCAAGACTAGCGACTACGAATTTAACTTATGCAAAACGACGACGCTTATTTTCCTAAACGAACATCCATATATACTGTGCATACATACACTATGCATACATATAAGATATTCCAATATTTACAATTGAAAATAGTTAGTAAAAAAAGTTCTCAAAAAAATTATGTAATAAAAATCAACGATTTTCCTACTCTAAACAGTTTTTGAGATATTAAGACTTAAAGTTAGAATCGTAGATTATATTATATTTAGATGGCTGTTCGTCAATGAGTGTCGCGACAGTGTTTGTGACTGCATACTTCACACGTTCATTGATACCAGACAAAATATCGCATTCATGCATACTAATATATTTTATGAATCATAAATGTTACTCTGCATTCCTGTGCATGATCGGATAATAACACAATTATCAGTAAACACGATCTGCAAACATTACTTGCATACACAAACAAACAGTTACTTAAATGCATTGTGATAAGTTAACTTTATATTCAGAAAGTATTGTGTTTGGAATAAAAAATCATAAAGATTTTTAATATTTAATTTTTCAAGGATTTTCTCGTTATATTAAATTTTGATTTGCAACTTCCATATATATTTCTTTTTCGACATATCGCAGTTAGAGTCTTGTATGAACGCTTCTACAAATGCAGGATGCATATCCTGGATTTCTCTGTTGCGTGCAAACTTTTTATCCGATTGTAAGGAAGTGCCCGGAAACGGCACTGTATCGTTCAATAATTACGGTTATCCGTCACATGGCGCAGAAAATAGAAATTAGCACGAACAATGAGAAAGTTGAATCGCTCTTCATGAAGGGTTATTAGTTAAAAATAGATCTCTAGGGGAAATATCTATATCCTTCTTTAGAGCTTAATGAAAATGTCAGATTTTTCGGTACGCTTTTGCATAAACCGCTAAGTAAATAGATAAAACGTGTTCTGAAACAGGCAGAAAAGCAAGTGGCATTTTATATGACATTTCCTCTTGATTTATTGTGATAGTAAAAAGAATTTCGTGTATTTTATTTAACAAACTAAATGACGATGTGAGAGTTAAGGCGATTTCGGAATCGTTTTTTCATCGAATGCAACTTTTGTAGACTGCATTATTTTATGTAATGATTCCACAAAATTATAAGTGCTGTGATATGGTTAAAGTATACACGCCAACGTATCGATCAACTTTATGTCAAGAACGAAAAAAATTAAGGAACTATTTTTATCCTTTAGCTCAATATTGGATCTAAAAATATTGCTTCAATATTTACCTAATATTGAAATTCAACTTTTTTTTTGTTCTCAGCATAAAATCGATCGATATAAGATTGGTATAAGAGTGTATATATTTTAAACACGTAAATGCATGGAAAATTCTATACAGTCAAAATATGCGCGCGGAAAAATAGTGCATTCTGTAAAAACGTATGAAGACATAGATCAGCGAAGAAGGAAAAAACAACTTCGGAATCATCTTAAATTATTTTATGTTTATTTTTATTTCAGAAGAATCGCAATTGCGCCGTCGGGTAAACACAATAATTTATTTATTAGGAGATGGTGTACGTTATCACAGAATTCCAATGAATTCTTGTCATGTTCTGTTTACAGATAGCAACTTTGTACTGGGAAATGCGCAAGTTCCAACGATGTATCCGATCGTTTATTGCTCCGATGGATTCTGCGAACTTACAGGGTTTGCGCGAGCGCAAATCATGCAGAAAGGCTGTGCTTGTAAATTTCTCTATGGGCCGGAAACGAAGGAGGAAGAAAAAGCCATGATCGACAAGAGCCTCGAGAGCAAGACGGAATTAAAAATGGAAGTTGTCTTCTACAAGAAGAACGGTGAGTTATTGATGACAAGAAGTTTTAGAGCTGTAAGTGATTGCGACGGAGTGAAGTGGATGTTACTAAAAGAAAAGTATTAAAGTGGTATATAAATTTATATTATCTTAATGTAACAATTGCAATCATCGTAATGCGTAACGTATTACAGCAACGGAAGCAAAATCCGTAATAATACTTCTATATTTGAGAAAAATTGTAAACGCGATAGCCAGAATCAATATCGACTTACATTTTCCGGCCAGATGACATTAAGAAACACGATATTTTTTAAGGAAGCTTACCACGCGAAACTAAATGAAGTAATTTCGCACCGCTGACTGTCGCTCTTCGCTTTTTCCTCGCGCGCAATGAAGAAAATCAGTCTACGATAAAGTTAATCGGGACGTCGTCCGCAATGTACTTTGTGTCATTACTTTGACCTAGAATTCAATTTCCCGGCGATGGTGCAACTAAGTTATTTTATTGCAATTATAAATGTAAATTGATTATCGATTTATAAACTTCCAATATCAATGTTGTACATTAGAACAGTCATAATTTCTATCATGTCACTTTTCTGTAGATTAGGAGTCTATTCTATTTTCGCACTACGCGAAACGACTACGTCGCGCCAATGTCGCATCAAATATTCTTATATGTTTCAAATGGAGCAATGAAACGACGCGAAGCGGCATGTTCCATTTGCAAATCATGTGAAAAAATTTAACATCTCGTTGACGTTACATAAATCTTATATCAATATCCTGAATTACAATTTATAATAAATGGTATGTATTATATTCATAAGCAGCTATTTCTAGATGCACGGACAAAAACCCAATTTTTAACGTAACAAAGACGTGTCATAAATTAGCGTGCCGATGACACGGAGTTGCCTTTTGAATATGATTATTTCTTTTGTTGTCGCCACACCGACGCATATTCGTAATAATTCTATCGCGTCGGGAAGCATTTAGTAAAACGTCATCATTTCATTATATAATTTCACACCAGCCAGGATATGTGGTATGCAGCTAATATTTTTTGTTTCAAACTTTCCATAATATATTTCACAATCTTTAAAAAAAAAATAACACGCTTTGAAAAGTGCTGACAATCGTATCGCATTTATATATCATTCTTTGTGTGCATTTTACGTTACAATACGCTTAACAGAAATATCAAAAACTTGTTATTAGAACAAAGCTTTCAGCAGCGAGTAATTTCGTTTTCCCATTCTTATGGGAAATAGCTCGGTTGTTTTAAAATTGATAGTTACCTATGTTTCTTCAATTTCGTACCTATCTGCAACAAACGGTTCATTTCAACTTACAGGAAGTCCATTTCATTGCCTACTCGACATTGTCCCGATAAAAAATGAAAAGGGTGACGTCGTCTTGTTCTTGGCCTCGCACAAAGACATCACGCATACGAAGAACCTTCAGCTCTGTGAGTTGCACGATAGTGGTGAGTTCCGACCATGCTTCGCTGCTAAATACGCGCAAGTGGATCGATTTTAATGAGGAATGATGCGTTCTCTCGGCGTCGTGCCAAAAATACAACTCAAATTCGACGTTTGCGAGTTTGCATCGCAGGATGGGTAGGAATTGGCCCTTTACGTCTTTCTCTCACAAGACGTTTTAAAGATTCTCTCACAATTTCGAGCATCACATAACACGTTGCACGTGTATCACTGTTGTAACACGCGGAGTTTGTAACCGAACGTCAGTTAAATATAATTGATTGATATATCATTTCGAAAGATTTGTTCTCAATTTTGCGCTTGTTAAATTCTTGTTTTTATTTTATTAACGTATTATACGCGCTTCATCATCATTAACAAGATATTTAAGTTTGATTCTCTTAATCCAATCGCAGAACTAATTAGATTGCTGAATTGATCGGTTATAAACTTTCCACCCACCTACAGAACACAGAGCAATTCACTAATGAAAAAATACATTATTACGCAAATTTATGTATTGATATTTTGTCTTGTATTGTTATAAAAGTTATAAAAGTTATAAGACAATAATGATTGGATGGGAAGAGGAGGAGATTATTTTCATCGTGAAGTTTTTCGTGAGATTTATACATATTTATATTTCTTTTAGTTAATATTTCCCGCAAAATACTTGTTTGTCAGAACGCTTTGATATTCTGTGCGATTATATACTTTTCTCTGGTTCAATAATAGCACAATACACAATTCTAGACTCGAATGGCATTGTCGACCCTGAGGCACCGCCTTCCAATTACGATAGAAGAAGAAGTCGCGCCGTCCTTTATCAACTGTCGGGCCACTACAAGCAGGACAATAAGCACAAAATTAAGCTAAACAATGTACGTTTATTCATTTTCTTCAAAATTACTGTTGCTCTATGAACAATGAAGGTTAATTTATAAAGAGCTATAGAAGTTGAGAAAATAACGAGTTTATATACATTCTGTATATACCATAATATGCATTGTTTGTTTTGTTTTCGAAATAAATAATTATTATGTTTACTGTTGGATAAGATTGCTAAATAACGATATGCAAACTTTTCAACAAAAGTATGTACCAGCAAGAAGAGCTGATTTTTTTTTTAGATTTACAATGAATTTTTCTTTATTGTAAAGGTTACCTTTCTAAGTATACTTGTCTTTCACAAATAATTTAAATTATTCCTTTGAAATAAGTGAGTTGCTATTTACTCGCCAAAAATGCAGTAAATTGGAGGTCGAGAACTGTTTCTTTTACGTTATTGTGCATATTATTCCAGACACTACTACACTCCACTGCAGCGCCTTTACCGGAATACAAAACGTCAGCGATCAAAAAGTCGCAATTTATTCTTAGTCATTACGGCGGTTTCAAATCCTGCTGGGATTGGTTGATTCTCATTGCAACCTTTTACGTGGCAATAGTTGTTCCTTATAACGCGAGCTTCATTAACATCGATAGGCCTACCATGGTCAGTGATGTTGTCGTCGAAGCGCTCTTCGTTATTGGTGAGTACTTCCCATTTCCAATTTTCAACCCTTGTGCCCTTTGGGCATCTCTTTATCCCTTCAATCTACCGATGAAATTCTCGCTTAAATGGTAATCCTTCATTTATTTTTGTCAGATAAATGGATTCACTATTAAAAAAAAAAAACGATATTTTTAAAAATATTTTAATAATTTCAATATATATTAATTAACAAAGTCGTATGATGAATCAATTACTGTATTAATTCACCATGTTGAATATTCTTTTAATTTTAACACATTGATAGAAATACATATATTACTATAACAAAATCGCATGAAAGAATGTTATTTCTTATATAATAAATGAACAAAGTAAATATTTAACTTTTATATACTAGTAGATATCGATTTTCAATCTTTTGGAATAATGTGTCTCTAATAAAAAAAGTTCTCTTTCCCCTTTATTCAATTAACACGTGGTGCTCGTTAAACTGAAACTAAGGAAATCGAATAATCACTCTCTATTTCTTGTGCAGCTTTTTGACTCAGTTCTCGCAGCAGCAGTTCCTAAACGGAAACGCACTAGAAATGTTTTACGTTAGCTGCAATTAAGTTACGTCGTTACGCAATAATCTACTCGTGAGAGACGACAAGATGCTATTTTTTTTCTCCTCGAACATTTTTCAACAAATGAAATTCTACCTTCCACGTATCGTGGATCTTTGTAATCCCATCAATCAGATAACGATGGTGTCTAGTAAAGTCAAGGTAACGAGTTAATCGTGAAAATAAGTCACATACTTAAGCCCGAATGCATTTTAAATTCATTTAAATGAACAAAATCTCTTTGAACTTTCTAGCAATATCGAAAGAAAGTTTTTCCGTAATGAAACCTGTCAATTACGAGATTTAGTAATAATATTTAGAACAGGGATAAAGGAAAAAGCACTTTGACCGTTGGAAACCTTTTAACATCATGTTCGCATCATTATCGCGATTCTTTGATCTCATTTTTTAATGAGATCGCAATATTCAGTCTATCTTCAGTCTATCAGCCTATCGGTCTTTTAGTCTGTCAGAGATAAATTTTGCAAGCGTTTCCACGCTATTAATCGCGAACACTGTATTGTGCCATAAACCGCATTAAATAAACAAGAAACGTTTTCAATATGGTCCGATATCGATTAACTTCGAAACTATGTTGTCATTTTATACAAAATAAAATTTTCATTAAAAGAGTTGTGTTATAAATTATAAATTGGCTTAACGCTTTTGTGTTTTTTTCCAATACACTCAAACGTACTGCAACATATTTTAAAAGCAATTATTTGGCAACAGTTTAATATACTTTAATTATTATATTGTAAAATTAATGAATAGCGAAACTTCTCACATTGATGTACAAGATGCATAAAATTTCAATAATCTGCAACTTTTAAACGATATTACTTCGGATAAGTGGAGATGAAATGTAAATTTCGAGGCCAAAATTCAATTTGCAAACGAGATTAAAAGGCATTTATTGTACAAAGCCGAAGTTTCGCTTAGCTGCTTGATATGTTTGCACGAATAGAAACTCGGCAGGGAAGTCAGTTTCTCCTCTTTGAGCATACAGATGGGTACCTTACATTTCCGTTCGTTCGTAATCATAATTATTACCATACCAGATCGGAAGCAGTATCCATTATTCAGTGACTAAAAGTATTAATCGACTGTTTCCGGTGAACAAATATTAATTCAAGCAATCTTAATTGCAATTTGTTCAGCAAAGCCTACGAGATTCGTCGCAATTATTTATCAAAATATAAAAATTTAATTAAATTATAAGATGCTTGAATTAAGATCTTACCTTTTAAATTTTCCTTAGCTGTAAATTTTGTATTATAATAATATTCAAGATCCAACACGCTTAGATTTTAAGTCACATCAAATATTTCCCTGTTACATATCTGAAAAATTTTAATCGTTGCATGCATCGTAAATTTATGTCTATTATTCTTTCCTAGATATCATTTTGAACTTCAGAACGACATATGTGAGCAGAAAGGGTGAAGTCGTCAGCAATAGCAAAAGCATCGCCGTAAACTACGTGAAAGGCTGGTTCTTAGTTGACCTTGTAGCAGCGTTGCCGTTTGATCTTCTTCTTTCTTCTTCAGATGTTTACAGCGGTGAGGTTGGTATCTTCATCCGCTTATAAAAAGATTGATCAATTAGCTTGCAAAGAGTAGATAATTTAAATTAAGTTACGGCAAATTTTTTTGCAAAACTAATTTTGCAATCTTCTTCGGAAAGATTGGTTTTAATACTTAACACTTTTTCAATAACGCCTTTAATTTGTAATCTAATCTAATTTTCCGCGTTTTGATAATACAGAAATAAGATTTAAAAAGGATGCCAGCAAGGTTTAAAGATTTGAATCGGATTATTTGAATTGGGAACGTGGAGAAACCTAGACGGTGCTCAGTACGTGTTACCGCGTCCTAATATCAGTTTTGCGGTAATTACTAATTTCGAATTTCCATCAAGTATCGACCCAACGAAGAGAAGCTGAATCTAATTAATTTGCACCATATGTAATAGAAAATCGATGCCTTATGTGAGAATTAATTTATATCGAGCGCAAGAAACCTCTGTGCTTATAGAGCATTGTCTTTAAATATAGCAATGCAAATTATATGTTAATTAATGAACGAAACTGTTTTCCAAATTTCTATCGCGATAATTCTTTGCGTTTTTTAAACGCTGCATAGATTTTGAAATATAAAGTGAACAGGTATTATTAACTAAACAAACGTTCTTTATTGCGATCTGTTGCAGGAGTCAGTACACAGTAACATCCATTTAGTGAAACTCACAAGATTACTGAGACTCGCGCGCCTATTACAAAAGATGGATAGATATTCGCAATATAGCGCGGTAATTCTAACAATGCTCATGCTTTTTTTCATTTTGGTGGCACATTGGTTGGCTTGCATTTGGTATGTGATCGCCGAGAAGGAGAGGTTGCGAAACGATAAGGATTGGGAGTTAGGTAAGTTTCTTAAAATTATTTTAGCGCTATTTAATCGCAAATTTACATTTATATGCAGACAATGTCATAAAATTCTTATAGAAAATTTCCAACACACCCTATATATAAAAGTACCCAAGGCGGCAATATACCAGCGCATACTGGAAATTGAAGTAAAATGTTGAAATGTTGCCTTTAATATGTTCTAGGCTGGATACATAGCCTGGCTGAAAAATTGAAAATATCTGTACAGAACGTTACGCATACAGAAAGCTACATAACGGCATTATATTTTACTTGTAGCAGTCTGACTTCCGTAGGATTCGGAAATGTTTCGGCAAATACATTTTCAGAAAAATTCTTTTCTATTTGCACAATGTTGATCGGTGGTGAGTTTTTATTCACTCGTGCAATGCGTTGCGACAGGTGTTATGAATTTCGTTGTATATTAATTATTATTTTTCTGCTATCGATAATAAAGTGAAATCAATCGCGTTTCATGAATATTTTACATATTTGATATCGGAATTATTTTACAGTTATTATTGTGTGCGCTTTGTATTTCAGCTCTTATGCATGCGGTGGTATTCGGTAATGTTACTGCAATTATTCAAAGAATGTACTCTAGAAGATCTCTATATCAAACAAAGTTACGAGATCTTAAGGACTTTCTAGTCCTACATCAAATTCCAGAGGAACTCAATGGGCGAATGCAGGACTATTTTCAAACTATGTGGTCGTTAAATCACGGCATTGATATACACGAGGTAAAATTAGATGCTCATCGTTGGTTTTCTCAATTAAAAGGTTATAAGAAAATGAGTTTGAAAAATTATTTTAATTCAATAACAAAAATTAGACTGCTGTAATAAAAATAATATGTAAATTATTAAAATAATCATTCGTTATATCGCAAAATGATACATCACTCTTGCGCAGACTCTTAAACAATTTCCCGAAGAATTGCGGGGAGACGTTTCAATGCATCTTCATCGAGAAATTTTGAGCTTGCCAATATTTGAAACGGCTTCTCAGGGATGTCTAAAGTTACTCTCGCTACATATCAGAAACAACTTTTGCGCCCCCGGCGAATTTCTTATGCACAAAGGCGATGCATTGTCATACATCTATTATCTGTGTAACGGATCTATGGAGGTCGTACAAAATGATATGGTTGTCGCAATTTTAGGTAAATCATAACAAATTGCAATTTAACACTCGCATTTACACAATTGACTTTTCCTGTAATTAACGGTGATTTATTGCCGAATTATCGATGATGACATTGAATCCGACAATGTTAAATTGATTAAAACTTTTTAGGATATTTAAATTAATTAAGATAAATTGACAAGTTAACTTTATCAGAGTTTAATCCTTATATGATTTAAGGGAAGGGTGATTTAGTGGGTTGCGATATAAATGTTCACCTACAACACGGGAACAACGGCGGTGGTACGACTGGGTCTGGCTCAATTGATGTCATAGTAAAATCCAGCTGCGACGTTAAAGCGCTAACATATTGCGATTTGAAGTGCATACACATACAGGGTTTAGTCGAAGTTCTCCGACTCTACCCCGAGTATCAACACGAGTTTGCGCATGATATACAACACGATCTTACTTACAATTTGCGCGAAGGATACGAAGCGGAGGTAATTATATTATTTCTATAAAGGACTACCAAAAGTAGCGGTTGTCGTCTGTCAATTACTAAGAATACAGTATATCTAAAAAATTGTGAAAAAAAAACAATATATTTAAATACGTAAGAAAATATTTGGTAAAAAAATTGCAGATTTTTATTATTTAATTTTTCATGACCTTTCTTGCTGTAGTTATTCTGATTCGTAAATTTTGGAACATTTTCCTTTGTAAAATTAAATAACGTACGCATTTAAATTTGTTAAAGAAATAGTCTAATCGAAATTGATTCGGGTTATTTGATGTAATTTAACAGTCTTTCTGCTGTATGAAATTTAGCAGGAGTCCGATGTAAACGGCCCGTCACTGACACTGCCCTCCATCAGCGAGGACGACGAGAACGCAGTCGAGGAGGGCGAAACTTCTCCCCTATCACCCCCGAACAAATCACCACTTCATTCATCTTCGAGCCCGCGGCATGCCAAGTTCAGGTAAGCCGCGATCGTAATATTCAAAAAGAATCGTCAGATTCGTGGAACATTGCCTTTATAAAATGTGAGAAAGTTAAGAACGGAAAAATACGTCGAGCAAACGATGGCAAGTTAAAAATTTCAATATAAAAAGGATGAAATAATGGATAGACTGCGAGAGGGAAAAGAAAAAAAAAGTTAATCTGGTGGTTTTCGCGCTTTTTGCTTTTCTCATTTTTCCCGATTAAACATTTTTTCCCCTCGTCACTCCACTTTTTCATGAAAGATAATACGTTGTGCTACTATAAAATAGAACTATCAGGTATCGTAATTTTTCAGAGAAGAATACCCCTTACTTATCGTAATCTAAAATATTTTATTGAGTGGTATTTAAGCGCAAGGTAAAAGCGAGTTATAAAAGGAAACACTTTAGACTATAAAACGCGTTCACGATTCGTTTCCCCGTGGAAAGAGATCCTCAGTTACAGGATAACATGATTTTCCGCTCGATAAAATTCGGAATATCCCAAAGTCTCGTTTGATCTGGCTTTAGACGGCGTTACATCTATATTGTCGATAAATTGTATAATAGTAAGATATATAGGTATATATATATTGTAATCCACTTTCGAATTGCTTAGTTGAAAATTTTCTTCGTCTGCTATCTCTCGCGCAGCAATTCCATTACAGTCTCGATATTTCGGATTTCGCAGAAATATGAAATAGAAAAATATAGAAATGTGGAATAAAAAAAAATTGATTTTATTTGATATATTAGGGAGGATTACAGAGATGGGAGACGCGCCGGAAGGGGAGTCCTGGTGCGAGGTGGAAGAACAGCGCAAGTAATCGCGCAGGAATCCATGGAGGAGCACATTCGTGGATCGGTCGAGAAACTCGATAATCAATTTTCCACGCTGCATCAAGATGTGGCAACGCTTAGTTGCGAGGTATTTTATACAAATATTACAACATTACGTTACTTCAATTCGGCACAAATAAATTACGGTTTTTTTTTTTTTACTATTTCAATAGTTATTAGTTCTTCTCAATTAATCCGAGCCTTTCTGATATCGAATAAGAAAGACGGTCTAGAGATTTATAAAAATATATAAATTAAGAAGAATTGATTTGAAAAAATTGTTTATCGTGCGAAACATGAATTCTCTCGACTCCTAATTAAATTCTCAAATGATTTGAAAAACGGAGATTAAATGACGCGTATTGGGTCAACAGGTGCGCAATGCCATTCAGGCGTTGCAAATGCTCGCCTGCTTGCCGCAAAGTAATCCAAATCTGCCGACTCCGGCGGCGGGTCGCGGCAGCGGAGTGCTCGCGAGGAGCTCGTCTCATCCGCCAGACGCGATTTGCTGGAATCCGCCGGCAAGATTGATCGATGTTTCGACGCAGACGGATTGGCCGGTCGATCTATTCGAGACTTGGGCGCGCGCGAATCCTCACAGAGTTTTGAAAGCCCTCGGTCTCGATCCGAACATCGTTCTCAGGCTATCTCCGCCATCGCCTACGCCGTCGCCATCCTCGCCCCCGCCGCCGCCCTACGAGCCGCTATCACCCTTGGCAAGCTCGCCGCAGCAATCACCCTCGCGATCTCTGACGACAGGTAATTACGTTCCAAGCGTTATACAGAGAACAAGGGACTTTCATTAATGCGCTAGGGACCGTTCATAGACAGAAGGAAAATTGAGAGGGTGCAACGAGGCCATAGGTTCGTCGACATAACGGCTTAATGTAAAAAAAAAAGTTTTTACTTTAGTTCGAAAGACGGATAGTCTCTCGGGCAGGATACACATAACGCGGAGGAAGGAAAAAAGTGCTTCTTATGGAATAAATGTACATGCGTTTTTCCTCACGAACGAAATATTCCGATATCTATCACGGGAGAGACACGTCTATCTTATCACAGAGGGACTAGTCGCAATTCTGCAAACATTTCAGCCCTCTCGCAATGAAAATATTTTTTTGAGAGGAAAATACTCCCTTGTGAAATGAGTTTTCCCACTACGGAGAAGTACATTTTTTTTCTATGAAGGAGAGATATATCTTGTTGCGGAGGTTGTGTATCTGCTCGTACATTTCCACAAGAAGTGCCTTCGTAAAGGATTACGTGGTGGTGTGGACTTGAACTTCCATAGGGACGCTATGCAAAGGGACACCTTTCACCTTAGCCACCTACACGGAATTATTCCCTTGCGAGTTACAAGTTACTCACATACGGTATGGCGAATAATTAATGAGACTGAATCTTAAACTTTATTGTGTGGACGCCATCCATTTTGGCAGCTGCTTAATGTTAAATGACATATATAATATAATTTTGTAGATAGTCCGTACGTATAAATTTAACTCATGCTCATGTAAGCGCGTAGTTTAAAGAAAATACCGGTCTTCGCTATTGCAATTAAGTTGCATGTCTTCACTAAAAGAGGCCTAAGAGACGCAGCTCCATCACGCGAAGCAGTTCCATAAGATATCACGAGTTTATCCAAGCCGTTTATCCAAGAGTTTAGGCTAACGATAATGTGTACAGCACATTTTAATGTATATTATCGACGTCCAATGTAGTGAGAATATTCGTAGTACTCGTTAAGATATAGATAGTGACGATGCGTGTCGTCGCAGAAGAAACGACAGACGCGGGAATGACTTAGCGCTGTTACGACATGAAATAACTTTAAGTCTACTTATTGGAGATGTATGTCTAATACAAGCTGTGTCACGAGAATCTATATCTATTTATTCGGATTAATCGGACATGTATATAAAGAAAATGACTTGAAAATATGTGAATATATGTGAATATATTAAAAATACGTGATAAGGCACGGCTTTGGCCATGCACGATTACATTAGTTCGAATACTTCCATCGTTATTTGTGAAAAATTCGACATGTCGCAAAAATATTTCAATCTCTTTCTTGAGATGCGCCCTCATCCAATCGTTTTTACAATCACTGACGATCGAATATCTAATAGAAAGTATGCACTTTGTGTCTTTTTTTCGTTTGTTCGATTAATTATAAAAAGCTGTCGCCGAAAGAGAGAGAGAGAAAGAGAGAGAGCAAAAATTGTAGAGTATCGAAAGAATCTATAGAATTAATTCTTTGAAATTAATTCTTTGAAATTTTTCTTAGATGTGTTGTCGTTGTAAAACGTGAAACATTTTTATAAATATCGTTGGAAGAAGGTGTTTTATAAATATTTCATATATTTTGTTATACTGTTTCTATATACTCTTCACATTGTAATTCAAACTAAGCATATTATAACATTATCTGCCACTCCTCACAACTTTTACCACTTTTTACACTTCTACACAGAATTGCGAAGCAAATAGCGTAACTCTCTTTTATCGTAATAAGATCGATAAGTACAAATATAATAAAACAATTTTCTTTCTAAATATATCTGCTTGAAGTCAAGGACCTCCTTAAAAAAAAATATCCTTAAGAGTATCTTTGACCAGTTAATTGTACAAAGAAATGCTACACAGCAATGATGTTCATGTTTAATCCCTTACCGCGTAATTATTTTTCCATCGTAAAAGATCGCATTTACAGGACAAGTGTGTTAAAGATATGAAATATATATATATTAAAGCATTTCCGCTACTCTACCTCTTTATAGGAAAAGTATGTAACTCAATGTTTTTAACGGCAATAATACCAAAGATTTTATTAAAATAATAGATTGAGATATTTTATCGTACTGGGGCAGCGAAATCTTAAAGAAATATAAATTTTTATAAAGTACCGTCTTTGTACGCTATGCCGTAAGGGATTAAATCCAGAGATATTCAACATGTGTACAATACGTAACTACGCGTATCAAAGTAAGTCGTAAATTTTAATTATGTTAAGAGATTATTCGAATTCTCAAGCTCTATGCAATCGTTCTTCATTGTAGATTTATCTCAACATTTATCTGAACTAGTCAGAAGACACTTCAAATGACGGCCTTAAAATAAAGATTTATTTTTTTCACGATAATAAATAATGTGCAGCAGGTGAATGTAGCGAAGCAAAGCAATCTTCATAAATGATTCGCCAAGCGAAGAACGTGGAAATGGAAATAAAACAGGAAATGCTAGAAAGAGAGAGAGAGAGAACAGGTATTTATTTGCGAAGTTAATCTTTATGAAAATGTATCTAAAACATTTGTAAATATTTTTAAACACTTGTACAATGTGCTTATAAATGGCATTCTTTGTTCAGATGGATTACGAGTAATATTAAATAAAAAATAATTATAAGCAATATATTCTGCATTTCACAGTTTCTCCCTGATATTACTATTTTCTGTTTTAGCGAAGCATATATATTCTCTGTATTAGTTGACTCGCGACGAAAGTGCGCATACATAAATTTTCTTCTAAGAGAAACATTTATTTCGCTCCGTTACGAAAGATGAAAGTTTACGGATTATTGTATTAAATGTTACGAGAAGGTTGTCATGAAACAATCTCGAGGGATCTATTTTACAAAAAGAAAAAAAAAAGTGTAAAACAGCCGACGGAAATGTCGCGGTTGTGAAACTTGTGTGCAAGCGCACTTCGCTCGGCGCTTGTGCGGATACCTTCGAGAGGTATGAAACATAATTCGTCAATCATCCTCCCGCCGTGCCGCGTTGCGTCGTAACGCTAACTCTGGAGCGCGGGTGCTGATCCGCGACGCCGATGTCGCGCTCCAGCGACGGATGAAGGTGCGCGATGGATCCGCGGGTTCGCCAGAGCAGAAAATAAACGTGTTACGAGGGGCTCGTGCGGCAGCGGGCCATTTTTGGGATCCCCACCAGCGGACGCGACACATGCGTCCTTTCGCCGCGCGCTTTTCGTCTGGCAGCTTTTCCGTTCCTCGCTCAGATACTCGTCTCGCGCTACTCCGATCGCTCGGGTTAAGGTAAGTGCACCATCATCGCGAATAACGCGTTCTTTTTCCGCAATAAAAACGCTTTGCTTCTCTTCTCTCTCTTTCGCCTTCTCTCTTTTTCTCTCTCTCTTTGTTTTGTATGCTTCTCTGTTTTCTGCGCTTTATCCCGAAACGCGTGGTAGCAACGATGTGGAATAAGCTCTCGTTAGCGAATGGTGAATGACGGAAGTGGCCACGAAGACGGAAACCGCTGTGTGTCAACGGGATAAATTGGATACGCCCGAAAACGCCGAACTAACCAGCAGCGCTTAAACTTTAAAAGAGCTTTAACTTTGAAATTTGCTTTAGCAATTCGCCTGGTGCTTAGCGACTTACCCGTAAGTAGTATTTTCAAAATGTAACTCTTTGTGCGAAGATCACATTCAATTATCGCGGTAAGATCAGTGCACGGTATTGTGTGAACGTTGTTAATTTCAATATGAAGTGTCGTTAAACTTGTACAAAAATGCATCCTGAAGAGGAGGAAATTGCTTCAAAAATTGCAGTATAAATTTCAAATATACATCGTACACATTTGTCAAATGTTGCGATAGATACAATAGATAGAATCTATTTAAACTGGTATATTTGTATCTGATTTGATTTATATATTCCAATTAATTAGGCAGCGGACGACGTTCCTTCTTACAACAGGAAGCTATATTCGATTCATGAAAGCCCATGATATTGAAGGCTGGACCGCTTTGCAAGATATTTTAACCGCTGCGAAATAATAACAACTCTGCTAACGCTTTCAAGACTTTGCTTTCGGAGCTAACACAAAACGATGTCGTAAGTAGCAATTGAACTGTCAATTAGCATGCGTTTATTCGTTACATTATACTTTACTGAACATAACACTTCAATAATACTCATATTTCTATATATTAATTCTTTAGTTTGCGCCTCTCTCAAGAAGCGAATTTTATTGGAATATCTTCGCATTACTTTCAAATTGTTCTTTTGACAGCCGAATAAATAAAATGATGCCATCATCGACGACTTTTAAGCTATTAATATTTCGAAATCAAATGCCAAATTTAAGTAATATATTTTAATCAATTTTCATAAATTTTAAATAAATCGCTAAATCTTTTTTTTCTTCTTGCTCGCTGGATTTTCTATCATTTTATATGATGTGCAGGCATTGAAGAGATAGCTTACACATTAAAAATCAATATAACTTATTATATTGTTACATGCAGCTATCATTTTAATAGCATTTCTGCTTTAACTTGTTTTAGATTGGATATTGTTTCGAATATTTCGTGCTGACAAATATTATTATTATTTTATATCATGACTACAAAATTACAAGCATTATTAAAATTTGCATAATAATTTGCACACTTTTACAAATTACAATGTTATTTTCCGCGTCAATTTCTGACGTTTAATGTTCTGACGTTTAATAAATTACATTTTTGTGAATTGATCTAATTGAACTGTCACAAGAATGTATGCGTTCGCGGAATGTAAAAAGTATCGAGAAACGAGAAATAGCTTGTAAAACCGTAAAATTCACGCGAGGGGGACTCCAATCACCGAGAACCGCCCAAGTTTTGTAAAATGCTATTAATACGCGTCGGTTAGATCGAATGTCGGTCGGCGGTGGCGGCCAAGTAAAGCCTGTTCTTCTGGGTTACACTCGTTACGTTTTGGCCTCTTCTTGAGCCGCACGGCATCAGAGCTCTCTTGCTGCCGTCCGTTCTGCACATATTTATAGAATCGGGCTGTAGATGCTATTTCCGTAGACGCCCCGATGCATGCTTTTCTTCGTGCTTACGCGTTGTGATCAGCTACCGGAATTATGGCATGCAGAAAATTGGATTTGATGGTTCGCAAATCGCATTTGCGGCACGCGTACCTTCGAAGAGCCGAAATGCAGGCTCCCAGAAGACTGAAATTTCAACGTGTAGCGAAGGCGCGAATTATCATTCATAAAGATTCGCGGAATTTGACGAAAGCATACTCATTTTCAGCATACTCGGTAATTTCATCGAAACAGTCGACGAAACAAAGCCGCCACCATGGATGTCATCAAGAAGAAGATGCAAGCGATGAAGCTTGAGAAAGACAATGCCATGGATAAGGCCGATACCTGCGAGGGGCAGGCGAAGGAAGCGAATATGCGCGCGGATAAGGTCCTCGAGGAAGTCGGAGATCTTACGAAAAAATTAGCTCAGGTGGAAGGCGATCTGGAAGCCAACAAGCAGAATCTCGAACAGGCCAACAGGGATCTCGAGGATCGCGAAAAGTCCCTTACCAACGTACGCTTCTTCTTGCGCCATTTTGATTAATAACGAATTTTTATTCTAACGTGTTCGGTCGTTCCAGGCTGAATCTGAAGTCGCTGCCCTTAATCGCAAAGTCCAGCTTATTGAGGAGGACCTCGAGCGCTCGGAGGAACGACTGAACACCGCGACCGCTAAGCTGACCGAAGCGTCACAGGCCGCTGACGAGTCCAGCCGGTAATTGAACGTTTAATCATTTTCGTGCACGCCCCGCGTACCGCGTTACAGAATTTGATGCAATTGCAGTATGTGCAAAGTATTGGAAAATCGTGCGCAACAGGATGAGGAAAGGATGGACCAGCTGACGAACCAACTGAAAGAGGCCCGCCTGCTCGCGGAAGACGCTGATGGAAAATCTGACGAAGTGTCGCGCAAGTTGGCCCTCGTTGAAGACGAACTCGAAGTTGCTGAGGATCGCGTGAAATCCGGTGAAGCGTAAGTGCTGGATCGTTACGATCTGATATCAATGCAAAGTCGTAGAAAGTGCACGCAGACATTTAATTTACATATTCTACCCTCGCAGCAAGGTTATGGAGCTGGAAGAAGAATTGAAGGTCGTCGGCAACAGCTTGAAATCTTTGGAAGTCTCCGAAGAAAAGGTATTGTAATCAAATTTAAAATTCGTTTAAAATATCGATCCGGATGATTCGCCCTAATTTATGTTTGTATTTTCAGGCCAATCAACGAGTTGAAGAATTCAAGCGCCAACTAAAAACTTTGACAGTCAAACTAAAGGAAGCCGAAGCTCGCGCCGAGTTTGCCGAGAAGACCGTCAAGAAACTCCAGAAGGAGGTTGATAGGCTTGAAGGTGAACTTATATGGCTTATATATCTTATCTCTCGTGTACATGGAATTTTTTTGCGATGAAAATAAAATCATTTCTTGTATTTCAGACGAATTGGGCATCAACAAGGACAGATACAAGTCGTTGGCTGATGAAATGGACTCGACGTTTGCCGAATTGGCAGGATACTAGATCACTTTATTATCTCGCTATGTTTTATGCCTAACAATCGTTGCGTTCTTCTTGTCGAGAAACCAACATTCTACATTTGTGCAAACTGTTACAGCTCGACGTCGTCCTTTGTCGAAAAAGGAAAGGCATGGTTAACAGATATGCCATGGACATGATATCACACGCTATCTTTGTAATTAATATTGTTATTAAGATGAAATTATCGACGTGAGCGGGTCGTAATCAATTTTATTCTGTTACATTATTGTACGAAAGATTAAAGGTTATTCAATAAACAGTAATATAAACTCAATAAGGATACGTAAAAGCGTATTTCTGCTTTAAACAAGGAAATGATATTTTTGCACATTATTTTTCCACAATAACATCCACTGCATTCACCCTAAGATACGCCTTAAGCTTCAAACATTAATCTAGCACACTTACAGATATTAAAGAACATTTAAAAACACAATGATTTCATTTTTTAATATATTTAATAAATGTGTGCATATCGCGTTCATCAAATGGCACATAAATCCAGCGGTTTTGTCTTGTACTATATTCTCCAATTATCGATCATTTTGTTCTGCACGCTGTTATCTAATCGCCTATTATATACATGTAAATGAGGATTATTAGAATGCATAATCCTTGTGCATTTATGAGCTTTATAACAACGATCTAAATATTTTTCACGAAAATGCATAACAATAATTTCAGTAATTATGAATATGCAATTAATAAATATTATGTTATAACTGGTCATAACATGTTATAACATGTTATAACATGTCAAATAAGCTTTAAACGCAAATCGAATTTCATACTAAATTATTATTCATGCACATCGCATCACTCCTCAAACATAATTACAAAAGACAATAATCCGTACATGCAGCGCTAAATATGATGGACATGTGATACTCAACTCACAACATACAAAATGTGATCTTCATTATTAGATATATCAAAACTTAATGTTAAATAATTATATTTAACGCAAATTAGTACATAAATAAGATATGGATTTCTAATTACAAAAAAAACTTCATAATTGTGCAACAACGATGGACACTGTAGAGCATATCACTATCGTAAAAATGCGCTTAATATACACTAACAGAGAGTATATTATATATTATATATTCGCTAACAGAGTATCCCGCGATTGTACGTGAGACTTTAGCTAAAAAACAAATAGCAGCGGCTCATTAGCGGTAAAGATCATTCATGTATTCACTTGATTTAGCTTCTTACGACTACGATTTTCAAAACGCAAAATTCTACTAACAGGGACTCGTTACGATGACGACTGAGTCATCCAAACAGCCGTGACGAGGATTCTCGAGGCGATTCCTCGTAATTAGACCTCCGGAAATTTATTCATGCATTAGCTGAGCGTGCGCAATCCGAAGAAGTATACTTTGAACAAAACGAACAATTTTTACATATATGGTATACGATCAGTGTCCGAATTAATATAGTGTCAATCCCGTTATTTTTCAGACATATTGTGTACATTTTACTTATTTTTTAGATATAAATATCCACATAAAAGTTACAACATAATTGCAATAAATTTATCCAATCATCAATAGCACAAGCGTATTTTATTTAATATATTTATCAAAAATCTCATTCGCAAAGTTATGACAAAAAATTCGTCCATTGACGAATCTGAAAAAGAGATCTAAAAACTACATCTAGTCTTATCTCATTTCATCTATCTCTCAATTGAGATATATAAAAAATAGCTTCATTATTTAATCATTATTTAATTAGACAAAAAAAACGCTTTGGTGCTATTGTCAAAAATATTTGCAATTAATACATTCTCAATAAGTCTAAAAATTTTATCGCCAATTTTACACTAATTGTATGTATAAAAAGTTAAAAGTAGTGTTAAAAAAATATAAATACAGAATTTGTATAACAATATAATATTGATTAAACCGTGATGTTATGCAGTAATCCATTATATATAGTTGAAAATACAATAATGTCCGCTGAGTTAGTTTATTTCAGCAATATAGCAAAGCCGCATCCACTTTGATATTCAATTTATAAACGTACAAGTTACACATGTAATCGATTTAACTTGCAGATTCCTCGTTAATATCTCCCAAGTGATAATATAAATATTTTATTCTACAAATTTTTTAAAATAAAGATTGATTCATGAAAGTGTTTAAAGAAACGTAAAATTCTGCTGATGATTTTCTGAAAGAATATATCTGTTTACACTTTAATGTTCATCATCAAACGAGAAATATAAGTATTTCATTAGTTTATGAATGTGTGAAAAAAATGAGAAAGTTTCAAAGATAATTTTATTACATGTGTATGTGTGTGTATATATATATAAAATTATAAAAAGTAGAAAGAAAAGAGAGAGAGAGAATCCGATAATGTTGCATGTAACGTCACTTAAAAAAACACTGTTTCATTTATTTGCGTTTTATTACGACAATGTATGCCGAACGGCATAACATTGAGTATTTCACTTTATTCGACAGGCATACATAACACATACACACCTTTGATTCGATTGACAACGAACATACTTCTTGAAATATAACCGCTGACGTCTCCCATACATTCCGTTAACATTCTTATGAATAACACACTGCAAAACTATACATAGTGCCTTAATTTATATATAATATACACTCTTTGTTATTTATTTTTAATATTATGAGAACATTAGAATATTTGATGTATCAATTGCACGTAACATTATGACTGGTCTATGATATTATACAGGATTATACACAATTGTGTGTATTGTTGTACTACACATTCCCAATGCTACGAGGATTAGACAGATTCAATATTACGAAGTAAAAATCGAAGAGAAAAGTTTACACGTGTGACAATCTGTATGTACGCCAGTCTTATCTAGCACAAAATTTATTATTAGTTTAAAGAAGAGCTAACAATGAAAGGCGGAGAAAGAGTTGACACTGTGTATGTTAATGATGTGTTGCATACGTTTTGCAATGTTTATTAATTTTGAGTACGATATAATCAAATTGCCATCGATCAATATAAAGAGCCAGATCAATCTAATAGCAATATAGCTTTGTCAGTATGACATATAACTTTGGTGTAGCTTAACAATACAATTTGCAAGTAGAAAATATTATGTTTGGAAAAAGAATTTCTTCAATGTATATCTTACAGAATATATCTTAACATCACACGAGTTATCATGTAACTCTTTCATTTCCTATATGCATAATACATACGCAATACACGCTATATTAGTGCATAATCATAAATTCGCCGTCTCTGTATTCAACGCAAGTATTAGTTTACAATATTTGTATAACCTATACTCAATAAATATGTTGTAGTTTTGATATAAATAAGTGAACCAGTAAGGCGTTACTTCAAAAGAAGAAAAACGTGTGTTTTATATTACAAAGCACACATTATGCATGCTACACATGCATTATGCTATGATTAAATAATTCTTATTCACTAAATCAGTGCAACAATGATACATATGTTATACAGGATGACTCATTATAGTCTAATAATAAATTTATCTTTGAAAGTATTTCAGATAAGGAAAAGTAATCATTATGAAATGGGTGTCAGATCGACAAAAACGTAGAATTAGAAAGATTTGGAAAGAGGAAATAAATAAAGGAATAAGTACTAGAGATCTCAGAAAAAGATAGTGGACAGATAGAAAAGTTGTGAAGTTAGACATCGGACAACGTCGTCGAACGCGTTGCACCGATATGTATATGTATACATATGTAAAAATAGCACATAGGATTAAATTGTTTCAAGAAGAAGATGGTGCATGTATTTGTGTTAAAGATAAATAACGTTTCGAATATTTTAACTCGGTTGTTTTAATCAAATTGTATATTTTTTAACGTAAATCAATTCTTCTCATTATTCTGAATACAAAAGTATTAGAATAAGGTATTTGAAAAGTGAATAGTTCGGAACATATCTCGATTTCTTTGTAGCATTTTATTCGACATTCGTTATTAAATTGAATTAAACAAAATTTAACGTGAATATTACTTGAGAGATTATCGCAAACACAATCTAAAAATAAGTAAATAAACAGACTATCGTTCAATGATAATAATTAATCTTACTGTAATGCCAATACTATCTTTAGCAAAATGATTGATTATTTTCCAATAGAATTAGTGTACATGATCATTATGCTTAAACAATCTAACAATAATAATTATGTAGTAGCAAAGTTTTATGAGAAAATTCAAGCTCTAAAGCTCTAGCTGCTTTTTATCTAAATAATTTCCTTATTCCAATAATGAGAAGAATCGATTTAAAAAATATATATATAATTGACGTTCAAAAATATACAATTTTATTTAATGAATGTTGATTATACTTTCAAAGATAAATTCATTCATAGATTATAATAAGTCACCCTATATATAAAATCAACTTTCTTGTTCATGTAATATAATATAAATGCATTGTAGACATGTTTGCAAGTACCCCAAAAAAACATTGAAAGTATTCTATATGATAACAATGCGCTAAATCTTTATTGATAACATGTATAGTTGACGTTCGCTATAAGATGAAATATGTTTATTACATATATCGAATTCTAGGCATGATACTAACATTAGGAGCTCTGTTCTATTTTTTTAGTACTTAGACAGAATTGGAAGATTAAATTAAATTCTCCATGAATTTTTCTTAAGCAGAATGTACAATTTTAGGTAGATTATCAACAAATTATAATAAATTAGAAATAACTAGAAAGTCTATTTGAGAAAAATTAGCTAAAATTAATATTGGTTGTCAGTTCTACTAGCTGGCCGTTCAATAAACAAACTGTTAGCAGTCAACTTAACTTATATTGATATTAGATTCAAGCACAATTACAGTATTGATAATCTGTTAATAGCAGTTAGCCATCAAGTTTCGTTGATAAACTTTAAAGATAGATTTTTGCTAGAATCTCGCAATAACTTGCGAATAATATTTAAACAAAATTTGTGAGACAGGAAATATATATATCGCATTATACTTACTATCATTAGTCTCTCATCTCATAAGTTACTGCAATGTACATCTCTAAGCTATCAACTGCAGTCAAACTGGAAATATACTTGCAAAGTTCTTCTGGGGTCTCATGTATTACTACTTTTTGCCACTAAAAAATTTCTTGTACTATCATAATATAATTTTAAAAATTGTATATATAAGTTAATATGTCATGCCTTATATTACAGATGGTCACGATGCAGAGAAAAACTGCTGAAGCCGTTGCACAGTTCTACGATCTAATGCACACAGATCAAAATCGAATGTCTTCTTGGTGATCTCGTATTGACCAGTCTCCGCAATTACTTGCACAACTCTCTGCAACTCTTGATTATCTTGTAACGTCATTATTTTTTGTTGCAAATCTTTGAGCTGAGATACATAATCCTCGGAAAGCAGCGGTGGTTCACTGATCTCCGCATCAGTACTATTCGTTGAATCCGGAGCCACTTGTTCAGCATCGGTTTCAATGTCTTTATCGTTTATCACTTGTTCCATCAAATCAACACAATTCTCCTTCTCTTTCTTAAATTCCTTCTTCACATCCTTTTCTGAATGGTGGAGCGAGTCGATGTCTATTGCAACTGGAGACTGGCTCGATGAAACCGGCTCTAAAGGTGGAGATGTTGAATGACCTCTGGCCTTTTCGCGTTTCGCCGAAACTTCGTTGTCTTCCTTGCTTCTCTTTCTCTTTCGACTTTCTCTCTCCTCACTTTTACTTCCTTTAGATTTGTCTCTTCTGCTACGATCACTCTTCTCCTTCTTCACTTCCACTGATATGCCAGGAGAAAGTGGCTTTGCTGTTTCTGCGAGTGTAATGGACAGTACGGCGTGTTCGGTTTCTTTTTTCACATTGATCGTAGGTTTACTTTCGGATAACGAATCATCGTCTATCGAAGGTGCCGAATCGCTACTGTCTCTTTCTGGAATCTCTGTTAAAAGGGACAATGAATTCCCACCTGATGCAGAGGACACGTGTAAGGATATGTTTGGTTTTTCCTTACTTCTATCCCTCTTTTCCTTTTTATCTCTATCTTTGCTATCTCTTTTATCTTTTTTATCTCTGTGTTTTTTATGCTTGTGTTTTTGCCTATCTTTGTCATTTTTACCATCCTTTATTTTTTCAGACTTCTCACTCTTTTCTAATTTTTCCACTTTGATTGTTTTGTCATCTTTCACTTTATCAATTTCTTTCGAAGGTTTTGGAGATTTTCTGCCATCTCTTGACGATGATTTGTATTCTTGAGGTTTCTCCTTATCTGACTTATCTATCTTATCTGCTTTTTCAGGTTTTTTCTCAATTATTTTTGTAACATCCTTAACATTAATTTTTTCTGCTTCTTTATATTTGTCTTTCCTTTCCTTGTCCCTATCGTCTTTGTGTTTCTTTTTATCCTTCTTTTTCTCAGACTTGGAGGAATCCACTTCACTCTTAGAATTATTTTTTGCCTTGTCCTTCTCTTTATTATCCTTTTCTTTTTCTAGTGCAATCTTTTTCACTTCCTTTTCCCTTGACTTAGGAGATAGAGGTCGCTTTATGGATGGTGGAGGAGTCGGTAGCTTCTTCGTAGCAACAGGTGAAACAGGTCTCTTGCTCCCAGGACTCAAATGACTTTTATTTCCAGGACTAGGTGGTCTCTTGGATTTTTCTTTATTTTTTAATTGATCCTTAGAACTGTCTCTAATCTTCTTGTCCTTCTTCTCATCTACCTTATCCTTTCTACTATCTTTATGAGGACTTTCTTTTGTTTTTATTAATTTCTCCACTTTATCTGATTTTTCAGTAACAGCTAAAGGTTTAGGAACAGAAGTTTTATCAGACTGACTTGCCTTTTTACTGTCTGGTGATATTTTTGTAGGTGCCGTTTTTATAGGAGGGCCAAACAAGTCACAAAACGAATTAGAAGTTTTAGATTCAGCAACGCGATGTTTCTTACTCTCACTGCCATTTAATTTTGGTTTGCCAACCATTGTAGATGCTTTCGCATCATTCTTTTCTAATGAACCATCCCTGGTTGATACTACAACCTGAAATAATTATATATAATCAGAAATAATTATGTAATGTTTCAAAAATATATATATTTTTTTTTAAATTCTGCACTACATATTGCTACAATTGAAATTCTACACTATATATTGCTACAATTTTTTTTTTATTTAACAAATTCTTATGGACATTTATCACATAATATATTATAGGAGGCATGCTTTGATTTTGTAGCATAATAATCTTCAAAAGTTTAGTTATATTAAATTATACTTACAGCTCCACCTTTTAATAATTTCTTCCTAAACTCATCTGAAGGATTACGAATTATTTCTGTGTGACGTATGGAATTATTAATAGGGGGACCACTTTGCTGCAGATGAAGATCATATGATATTTGAAATTTCTTTGGTTCATCCTTGTTTTTCAGATAGATTTCAATTAGCAGCATAAAGCCGGCATAGCCAGATTCTTTTACAACAAACGGTGGTTCTTTTAATACTCTTTTAGGATTCCGAAATGTGTCATGTAAAAGGAATACAACTGAAAATATAAAGTTGCCATTGTATGAGAAATATTAAAACAATATTTGCAACATCTATTTTGTTTATAAAATCTAAAGTATGACAAAAATATTATGATTCCTTGTATTATCAAAGATAATATAATAAGCAATGTAAATAGAAAGAGAAAGAATGAAATATACAAGTTGTGTTACTTTCTTAAGAAGATATTAATAATACAATTGTAAAAGAAATTGATGCTCATATATTAATGGACAATATACCTTTTTCGATGTAATGATGTACGTCTGCATTATCCACTCCTCGTACAAAAACTTCCCAATCATGTGTATATCCTTCAGGAGTGGTGCGCATACGTAACATAGATGTGTGTCCACATTCCAATGTGATGCGTATTGCCATCCTCTTTTGCAAAAAATCTTAATCACCGTTTCACAAAGAAAATAATAAAGAATGGCTAATTCCACGAACAGACGCAGAGTTTTGTTACATTTTTAGTCATCTTCGGAAGAGACGCTCCGAGCAGTTATTGCGCGACCTCCAAATCAAGCGCGAATTGTATCTGGAAAAGTATTGTGATCCAGTTCAGACTATCGGGCAGTGACAACGTTTGTTTCCTGATTTTCGCGGCACGCAAAATTCAAGTGCATATCATTTGCTAGCACTTGTTCTGTATGAAAATGTTAACCGCCACGCAGAAACCGACGCTCTATCACGTGCGTAACTTACCAAGGATGTGTCGTTCGCAAAATTTCGCTTCAAATCTCTATTTTCTCGCGCAAAGTCGGACTCGATTATCAACAGGTACACCAACGAGATTCGTCGGCATCATCGACAATCTTCGTTCTCCCGTATTGCTCCCGTATGATCCTGTGTAAACCTTGTACCCCGTACCCCCGCGCTATAGCCGTCTAATAGAAATTGAAAACGCCATCTATCGGTGAACAATTAACCCTCTAAAGGCATACTCGCATGAACCAAACTGCATAAATATATTTACAAAACGTTAAAGACATGTTTATAGTAATTTGTATAGTCGTATAATTCATATGATAAATGACATATGTACATTATAAATCAAGTATTTATATATTTTTAGCATAATGGAAAAAGAAGAATCAAAAACTGACAATTTGTAATTGCATCTGCAACGGGCGATATAAAATAAATTTTTTTTATCGAATATTGTGATGTAGTATGAATCTTACATAAGAATTAATCGAATTTATTAGCGTTTTCGATTATACAGGATTTGAACGACCCAAGATTGGTTAATGACGTCATTGCAACCTCTCCACCAATGAAAGACTTGCATTTATAGTAAAATAGTGATTGATCAACCCTAGATCGTTCAAACCTCGTTTATTCGAAAACGCTATATAACAAAATTAAAAAGATAATCGATTCTTTGAAGAAAAAACAATCGAACATCGACTAATCGACTGACCATCGGCCATCCTTATTGCAAGATATAGGGCTTGTTCGTTTTAGCTACACTGGAGGCTTGTTCGTTTTAGCTGCACTGGGGCAGCTCTGGGTCTGCTCTAAACAAGATAATACAGGACAAACTATTTATCTGTCCTGTATTATCTTGTTTAGAGCAGTCCCAGAGCTACCCCAGTGCAGCTAAAACGAACAAGCCCATAGAATGAAGTGATGGAAGTGGTTCCGCCATATTCCTGTCATTATTTTCTTCCAGCTCATTGCACAATTCCATCGCTCGATCTGCCTTAACTTGCTATTGTTGCACGAGATCTTATTTTATTTTTTTTATTTTTTTGTATCTATATATCTTAGTCCGTGTAATAGCCACTTTATCGCCTCTCTATTGTCTGTCCTTTATCTTGCTCACTATCGTCTATCTCTAATTCATATTTGTCCCAAAAATTCCTGACATTTTCTACAAATTTTTCACATTTTATCTCTGTTATACTGCTATTATCATCCTTTGTTCTTTTTAATTCTCCATTCTTTGTATTATCTAAAGACCCATCATTAAGTGCCTCGTCTTCGTTTCCGTTTATGTTTTTCCCCAACTTATATTAAGCTCGCAGAGGCGAGAAATTCGCCTTGCTCGCTTTTGTCTTACCAAACTAATATTTTTTGATAGGGTTAGTCTAAAAGGTGCGCTCTTCTAATTATCTTCGTCGGACTTTTTTCCCTATAATTATAACTTTCATATAAATCAGCATAAAAAATTATCGTCTATCACCAGTAATGACCACACTCTACTTCTCCAATATATTTGTACACGGCAACAATCATTTAATTTTTGGCAGTTTAATTTTTGACGTTTGACAGATTTGGCACCCGTTCACATCTGATTCCTTGGAGATACTCCGGGAAGTTTACTGTTACCGTCTGTACTTGTTTTGGCTCATTGTTTTTTATTTCTACCGCAATATGTCGGAGAGGCATTAGTGTACAGCAATTTCTCAAGCCATGCAGCTCTCAAAAAACTGTATACGTAATGGTCTTCAATAGTAAATTATATTTACGGTACTGTGTGATTGAAAAAAAAAATATATATAAATCAATATCAATCAATACTGAATTAATTATATGAGAGTTATAAGTGGAAGTTTTTGTAAAATGTCAGATTATACGAAATGCTTGGTTTGTTATACATTTTTATGGTCGCTTGACGCTCGGAAGGTATCTTTCGAATGTGACAGTGTACCGTTCCTTCAAATTTGACGAATTTTTTACGAAATGTTATAAGCGCTGTAGCAATGAACTTTTGCTCCTGTGAAGCTTCATAAATGTTAGAAACAGGATATCCAAAGACTGATGTCTCATTTACTAATTAGAATTGCCAATTGATATCGATGAACTAAGGTTTCTCGGTATTAATTCGATAGTGTTAGCCCATCCCACTCACCTCGTTAGAATGGAGGTAAGGTTTATTTTAATAAACAGGTTAGATGTATATATGATCGTTCATGAATAATTAATAAATAATAACATATAAATTAGCATGACGATTAAAACAGCTAGACGCTTTATAGTAAAAAACATTTAAAATTAATTTAATATCAGTTCAAAATTGATTTTTTTAAAATAAAGTATCTTAACTATCTTCTTATTCACTCTAAAACTGATATTCTTCGAGATCAATTGGTTGAAATATAATGTTTGTCATTTATAGCCAGCCGACAAAGTTCCTTTGCCATTAGAACCCATAAAATCAAATCAAGTTGAGGATAGACGCTTATGGGTAGGCAATTTAGATTTAAGAATTAATGAGTAAGTATTTACGCAATTGTAATCTCTTTTTATAGAACTTTTATTTTATCTTTATTTTTGTATATCTTTTTGGTAAAGTCAGTATCTTAAAAGAATACTTTTAAAAATAACATATTGATTCTAATAAATGGAATAGTTTATTAATTTATGTTAGAAAATTTATAAAAAAATTAACTCTTTTTCTCTCTTTGTCAACTGGTACCAACTCCTCAAACTTGTCCAAAAATATGGCACAATCGAAAAGTTCGACCTGTTATTTCATCGATCTGGACCTCAAGCTGGTCAACCAAGAGGATATGCATTTGTTACCTACAAAACAATTCAAGATGCCAAAATAGCAAAAGATGCTTTACATAACTTAAAAGTTGGAGCTAAGAATATTATTGTGAGATGGGCACACAGTGTTACTGAGGTATAATATATTTATAACTATCTAAATTTTCTGTAAACAGAGTATCTATAATACAGTGCATTATGCAATATTTTGTAAAACATTAAACTTTTATCATTTTTATTAATATTTAATTTTTAACATATTATTTTAAGCATTTTATTTTAATACCAAACATAAAAAATAAAATAATTTTTTATTTAGTCGGAAATGGATAAACCAAAGCCAAAAATAGATATTCCTGCCTTAGCTGGTGCAAAGAAGGAAGATAAGAAGATAAGGTAATAACTTTGTATTTTTTAAAAATAAATAACAAAAATGTTTAATTGTAATCTATATGAAAACCATTTGTTTGCAGCCGTGAAACAGCGATTCAAGCAATTGAAGCGAAACTTAAATTGATGAAAGAATCAGAAGAGGAGTTTGAGCTGAACAAACCATTGGAAGGATCGCCAGTTATACATCTCTATCAAAAAGCAGAAAATCAAAAACCGTCCACTTCAACACGTTATAATCGTGGAAGTTATCACCATCATAATAAACCATACAGTCGTCATAAATTAAGAAGATAATTCGTATATCTACGTGTATTTTTTTCTTTATTTTATTTAACAAACAATAGCTTATTTTATCATATCTATTTCATGATTACATAATATTTATATTATTTATAAATAATCTATATTTTTTTATATATTGTCCATTAAACGTTCCGTTCTACTGTATTCAAAAATATATTTTGTGCTGTAATGCTCATATGTTCATAAGCGATGAAAATGATAAATTATAATTTTTTAATTGCAGACAGGTAAATACACTGATTCCTATATAAACGAACAAATACATGAAATGTATTAGAGCCCCGAATATGTTAAGTTAGCCGTAATGTAGTGCTTAATATATATCTACTGACGTGTGTATTTTCATAAAATATGGAAGTCTCTTTTGTAATAAAAACATGTACGACATGCTTTGTAACAAATCTTTAAGTATGCAAATTATTTCCACTGTTCATATTTGACAAGAATACAAATGTACGCGTAACAAATGGGATTCTAATATCTCTACAAGAACTCTTAATAATTAAGTTTGCATATTCTTTATTCTGTAGTCTTTCACATATGAATTTTACACGCATGTGACCTGTCAAAGGCACTACGTTTGGACATGATACTTGTCCTGAGACATGACATATGTAAGCAGCTCCACAACCCACTCCAAAGTTTGTTGGATTGTTCTTTTCTTTAACAGCAGCTTCTTTGATTAATATTTCTTTTGGCTTTTCTGCTATTCTTATAAGATGCTGGAATATATTGTCGTTAGATTTGCTATCTACATTGATCAACACTGTCTTTCCATCTTCTGTAAAAAATATTTTTTTTCTCATTGTATAGCATGCCTCAAATTAATATAACTATCATTCTCATCATACATTAATTTTATTTAATATGATATTCAATCCTTAACTACCATAATAACATTTTATGAACGGTAATGGTCAGTGGCGTAGCCAGGGGGGGGGCTGTGGGGGCTGCAGCCCCCCCGAAATTCTTAATAATTTTAATAATTTCATAGCTGATCACAAAAGTGAATTTCTGTCATATATGCTGTTTCACGCATTTAATATGCTTCACTCAGAAACGTATGCCTCGCTTTCCTTCGTAGTCCAGTCGTCAAAATCTTTTACTACCTTTACAGTTCATCGAGTTTATATTTTTTCCGACTTATTTTATTATAGTTTAATATAGTTTCCGACTATTATTTATTATAGTTATTTTATTTCCGTGGAAATAAAATCTAATATTTTTATACAATAAAGATCCGACAATGACTTTTGCCCAATTTGCACACACTACTGCAAATATTAACAACTTTAGCGATTTCTACAGCAACAGTCAAACGCAGCTTCTCAACATTAAAAAGATTAAAAACCTATTTAAGAAATAGTACTGGACAAACGAGACTTACTGGTCTTGCTTTAATGAGCATTCATCGGGAACTACATGTCGATGATGACATTTTGCTTAATAAATTTTTAACTAAAAAGAATCGTCGAATACAATTATAGATTGTAATAACATTAACTTCACACGAGTATAATATATAAAAATTGGCATTCTACGTTTAAATTTTTTTGTTAAATGTTAAAAATTTCAATGTTAAAAAACATTCACAGTTCTATTACAATTTTGTTTTAATTTAAATATAAAATTTGGTTTTTAAAATCAAACTCAAATGAATAAAGTCGTGAGCATAGCATAAAAATTATATAAAAAAAAATATATATATATATATATATATATATAATATAAAACAAAAAAGATAAAAATAATAAAATAAAAAATAAAAAAATAAAAATTACTAAAAAAAAAAAA